ACTTTTTAAATTTATTTTTTACTACAAAAGCAATGCATATTTATAACCTTAATACTTAAATGTGTAAAAAGTAAAATCCTTACTCTTATCCCTTCATATCCCACCATATATTGGTACTTATGTATACTTGCATTCTTTAGTTTTTTTTGTTACAGATTCATTATTTAAGGGAATGAGTATACAGCACATTATAATGGAGACGTCTCTGCCATTAGATGCAGTACCTTTTTAAAGCTGATGTCTCAAGGTGATATACTTACTAAATGTGGTTTTCTGATGGAAAACCTGAGAAATGATTGGTTAAGCTCAGAAAGAAGGATAATAGTAATATTTTATCACTCTAAAAATTCAACAGTGTCTAAATATTACACATTTCTTATTCCTGTACATAGTTATTCAGCACTTTTCACCAAACATTTAAAGAGGTAAGGGAAATAGCATATATACAATTAGGATTTATTTTATGGAGAGCTCCTTTTTAAGACTGCTCTCAGAAACTTATTGAGTCTTATCATTGGACATCATCTTTATAGGTCTTTATTATTAGATCCCATGAGTAGAATAGGGACATGTAAAATTCAAAACACTACACTTAATTTTATCATCACCTTTCATAGTTGTGAATTTAATTTGCTATTTACTTTGACATTTATTGAAAATTGCTACTGTATTAAGTCACTTGTTCGATTTTTTCCTCCCTGATGACTTTGAGAACACAATATAAAATGGAAAAATCACATAACCTCTGAGTCTTGTCTTAATCAATATGGCAACAGTATTTTATTTGGAGGACATTCCCAGAAAGTAAGATTCACTCATATTCAGATAACAAAATATATTCCAAGCCCAAATAGCAACTTCTTTGTGTAATTATCACTTTTCTACCCTTTCATTATCTCAAATAGTTTAGACTCTATTTATTTTCTACTGTAAAACTAATTTGAGCATTCTTAACTCATAGTTTAATAAAACAAGGTTTTGGGCTCTTTGTTTTCTGTGTAAAATAAAATAGAAAAAATGGTTGTACTTAGAAGAACTCCTCTCTATTATTTTTGATAATTCTATTTCTTCCAGGGGTTACATCTTCCAAAATCCATACTGTCGGAGATACTTGTGTGATTTATTTTTATACCATAAGTCTTCTTAGTGAATCAGTCATGATTTTAATTTTGATATTTATTTTTTCAATGCCAGAGAGTTGAAAGATAACCTTGGCAGTGATGATCCAGAAGGCGACATACCAGTCTTGTTGCAGGCCGTCCTGGCAAGGAGTCCTAACGTTTTCAGGGAGAAAAG